TAAGAGGTCAGTTTATGGATAATACCATGAAACACACAGACTGGGATGAGATTTCCAGGGATAGACGAACAGGAGTGGTTCCAGACAGGGGACAAGGAAACAATGTCAATGGGTGGGTAAGGGGCCCTGGACCAGCTTCCATAACTATGCCTTGACATCAGATCCAGCTGGGCCCTAGGAAGCTGGGGTTTGAGCAGGATTGGCAGTGGCCTCAGTTCTTGAAGGCCTCCTCTCCTCACTCTCTGCTGTTCATCCTTCAGTGGGCTGGGGCCTTAGGGAGGTGGTATTTTGGGGGCCAGGAAACAGTTGGTCTGGATGGGCAGAGGAGTTGAGGTCCTTGGAGGCTCCCTTGGGGAAGTACACACCTGGATAGTTGGGGTTAGCAGCAATGGGGGGGAGTCTAGTCAGGTTCCAGTGGTCTGGGGTGAGGCCACTGCTCAGCAGGGCCCCTGTGTTTAGGGCAGGCCCCCCACCCTGCCCACCACACCAACATGGTGCAATAAATTAAGCTTCAAGTAGTAAGACAGTGTCAAGCAAGAGAGTTGGAGGCTGGCAGGTGGCTGGGGACTTAGGGAGGGGAAGTTCCCAGGCATCTACTTTGTCTTCTTACTCTCAGTGGGCTCCAGTTATATCAAGGCTGTGCCCCACAGGGGCACAGCCCCTCAAACCAGTGCCAGAGCCTGCTCGGTGGGGCAGAAGCAGGGCAGCAGGGTGCCCACAGCGTCCACAATAGCTGCCAGATGTTCATCTTGAGCCTGAGGCCCACAGAGCTGCATGAAGTCCGCCAGGCGCAGCAAGTACTCCAGGTTGTGGCCTGAGGAGCCACGGCAGGCCAGGATCTGTGTGGCAATGGTCTCCTCAGGTGCAGGGCCCAGGTAGCCAGGGTTCTGTGGGGTGGCCACATAAGCCAATGCCTTGAGTGGCTGGTCAGGGTTATCTTGAGGGTAGAAGGTGACCTCCTTGGTGTCATAGCCGCCGAGAATGGCCTCCCGCACATTGAGGTACTTCAGGGCCTCGCTCACCTGTTCACCTTGAACCTGGTATGCCACACCCCAAGTGCAGCCCTAGGAGGAGACAAGGACACCTGGGGTCAGTTGGAACAACTCTTTGCTGGAGTCTAGGACTGGGCTGTGTTCCATTTGCAGCAACACATTAGACCCTCATTCACTTTTTTAAGAAGGGCTAGCAAGTAATCTAGCCCCAAGGGGGTAAATTTATACTCAAAATGTGGAACCGCCTTATAGCTGCTTGTCAGGTATTCTGAGTCTACAGTCTCTAGCACAGCCCCTACCACCACCCCAATTCCTGTGGAGTCAAAATCTAACATTTTAACAAGATACTAGAGAGCATTGTACTAGACTGCCCTTCCCTTCTACCCCAGAGGCATGGAATCTAGCCTGCAACCTGGGGCCCATGAACTTTCTGTCTGCACCTGTGGGGTCCCTTCTCTTGATTCAGACACTTACCTCACGGTCTTCAAGGAGGGTCACAACACGGCCAGGCTTGGGAAAGAACAAAGATTTTGAAAACGACGGGTTAGAAATCACTCATCAGCACCAGAAGAAATTTGTCTGTCCTAGTGGGCACCCTCAGGGCCCTATTCTCCAGGGGAAAGTAGGGGAACGGATGCATCAGAGAAAGAGTAAAACAGATACATACATGGCTGTAGCCCAGATGGGTAATCAAAGCCACTCATCAACTGTGACCTACCGGCTGGCTCAGACTCCAGCCATCAATGACTCACTGGTCTACACTCCAGTCTCCACTGAGCACATAAATTTAAGGCACAGGTTTACCCCTTCCCCCATGCATGGGGTCACCAGTAGCCTAGAGCTCGGGCAATTCAGGGCGCCTCCAGCTCCCACCATCCTACCTACCCCCACCTCCCTCACCCCCAACATAGTAAGATGCTCACCATCTTGTCGCTGCCCCGATGGAAGGTGTCTCCCTGCCAGAAGCGGCGACTGTAGCCACGCACGAAGCCCACACGGCTGTCACTATAAGCGAAGTCAGGCCTCCACACCAGGGAGCCATAACCGAAAATCCACAGCGCCGGAGGGTCGCCGTCGTCCCGGGGGCGCTGCGCGGCGAGCTCCAGGGTCTGTGAGGGGGACGGCGAGGCGGGCGGGGTGCTCTGGGATGCGGACTCCTGCTTCATGGTGCCGGGCGCAGGGACGAGCCCGGGCGGCCCCCGAGGCTAGTCTCCGGTGAGGGCACGGACTGACCGACGGACGCGTACACCTGGCCTGGCACCGCTCAGTTGCTCCAGCTGAGCGGCCCCCAACTGACGAGCCCTTTAAACCCTCCGGCTAGGAGGCCTCGCCCACTTCAGTCAGCTTCCGCGGTGATTGGGGCGGGACAAAACCCTTTTTACCCAATCAGTTTCGAGTTTTAGTACTCGGTTAACCGCGCAGTCCCCTGAATGGATGACTGAGTGGCCCGCCCCTGGCGCAGCGCGTCCGTCGATTGGTTGGCCTCCAACTCTGTAACAAATCTGACAGGACTGATGCAATGGCGGGGGTGGTTTCCCCAGTGCTGGCATGCAGCAAGGGTTTCTCGGATTGCATCAGGCAACGGGCAGGGGGCACAGACGCAAACCCTAGTATTTGCCCGATAGCTTCTCCATGGCCTGTGTGCTGCAGGAGCCAGGAAGGTGGGCCTCAGTATCTCCCCGGCTGTCCTGCCCACTCACCTGGCAGAGTCCCTGCAACCCCAGGCAACACGAACTCAGTACCAGGCCCCTGGGGCTCCGTCTTGGAAGCTCGCACTGTGGGGAACTGTCTGAGGCACTCTGCATTCCGTTCAGGTGTCTCATGTCTTTGGCTCGCGTGAGCAAATGGAGAAACTGAGTCACGAGGCCAGCAAGGGGTTCTGCACAGGCTGAGTCAGGCTGCGCTCCGGAGTTTACCTGCGCCCAGAGCACGTGAGGGCTCCGCCCCAGGCCAGGTATGGGATCCCAGAGCCCTGAGCGCTGGGAAGGGTCGCCAGGAGCGCTGTCACTTTGGTAGTGGTGGCCGGACCTGCAGGGAGAGGCATAAGAAAAGCTAGGCCAGCCCTACTCTGTCAGGACTTGAGGATTTGCATCAGTGGTCGGGTTGGGAGCTCAGAGAAGTGCAAGGAGTTGCGCGCAAGGAGGGCCGAATTGAAGCTCCGGAGGCTGTGAGAGGCAAGACTCCCCTCAGGCTTCTGATCTCTCTCCCCTCACCCCCTTAGCGGAGCGGAGGAACCACAGACCTCCTGGGGTTGGTTACTTCTGGCTGGAAAAGGAAAACTGAGGCAACAGAAGGCTCTTGGGTATTGCTGGCCTGTAGGAAGGGAGCCATCTAGGAAAGGAAATGAACATTATTGCTTATAGTACTCTATTTAAATATTTAAACTAAGTTACCTGACACTTCAAATCGTCATTCCAAAGGTATCTGAATATTTCCCAGGGAAAATGTTGCTCAACGGTTCAACTTTGTGCATATTATGAAGTTATTTCTTTAAATAAACAAGTTATCGTCAGCATTTGTATAAGGGAAAAAAAAACTGGAAGAATATATAACTGTTAGCAGCGACTGTTACAAGAGGAAGATTTTCAGTATTAAATTTATGAAAAAGCTTACATTTTTTAATATGAAGAATGAATTACTTTTTCAATCAGGAAAAATATGGGCAAAATGGTTGTTCTGGTCATTCTCTTCCCTTCCACTTTCCATGTTTCTTCTCATCCATTTGAAGATATCTCCTTTGTGGTTAGTTTCTTTAAGAAGACTCTTCCCACCTCCACTCAACTGCCATTGGGTGATGATGGGGAAGGGTGACAGGGAAGTGATATGAAAGCATTGTTGGAAATATTCGAATTGGCACAAGCTTGGTGATATAAATCAAGAATCATAAAATGTCTCTGACCTTTGACCCGCTCTAGGAAACCACTCAAAATATGGAGAAAACTGAATGCCTCAAGATTTCAAGCAAAAACAAAAGAAAATAATTTAAATATCCCAAACTAAATGTTTAAATAAATTATAGTCAACCACATGGTGGTAAAATACGTTGTTAGGTGCCATTAAGTCAGTTGAACACAATGGTTTAGGTCAGGTGCACCTTAATCCTCAAAGTGACCTCTTTACTCTTTAAGACTTTAAAGAAATTTTGTGCAGCAGAGTTGCCTAATGTAACAGTGTTGTTTGTTTTTTTGACTGCTGTTTCCAAGAGTACTGACTGTGGATCCAAGAAAAATGAAGTCTTTGACAACTATAGTCTTTTCCCAGTTTATCATGATACTATTTATTGGTCCACTTGTGAGAATTTTTGTTTTCTTTACATTGAAGTGCTCTCCGTACTGAAAGCTTTGGTCTTTGATCTTCTTCAGTAAGTATTTCAGTTCTCTTCTTTGCTTCCAGCAAGCAAGGTTGTATCATCTGCATATCACAGGTTGTTAATGAGTCTTCCTCTAATCCTGATGCCATGTTCTTCTTCATATAATCCAGCTTCTTGGATTATTTGCTCAGCATACATATTGAAAAAGTTGGTGATTACAACCCTGGTGTACATATTTCCTGATTTTAAACTATTCAGTATCCTTGTTCTGTTTGGACAACTGCCCCTTGGTCTAAATACAGGTTCCTCATCAGCACAATTAAATGTTCTGGAATTCCTATTCTTTGCAATATCATCCACAGTTTGTTATGATCCACAGTCACATACCTTCACATAGTCAATGAAACACCAGGAAACATCTTTCTGGTAATATCTGTTTTCAGTTAAGATCCATCTGACATCAGCAATAATATTTGTTCTTCATTCCATATCCTCTTCTAAATTCAGTTTAAATTTCTGTCAGCTCCCTGTCACTGTACTGCTATTTAAATTTAAAAATCATCTTCAGTAAAATTTATTTTCATTTGATAATAATGATATTGTTTGATAGTTTCTGCATTCTATTAGGTCACCTTCCTTTGGAACGGTAACAAATATGAATCTCTTCAAAAATCAGTTGGTCAGCTAGCTGTTTTCCAATTTTCTTGTTATAGACAAGTGAGCACCTCCAGTGCTGTATCAGTTTGTTGAAAAATTTCAATCTGTATTCTGTCATTTCTGGAGCCTTATTTTTTGCCAGTGCCTTAAGTGTAGCTTGTACTTTTTCATCAATGTCATCAGTTCTTGATCATATGCTACCTCTTGAAATGGTTGAACATTGACCAATTCTTTTTGGTACAGTGACTCTGTATTCCTTCCATCCTCTTTTGATGCTTACTTCATCATTCGATATTTTGTCCATAGAATCCTTCAGCATTGCAACCCAAGGCTTGAATTTTTTCTTCAGACCTTGAAGAATGCTGAGTGTGTACTACCCTTTTGGTTATCTGACTCCAGATCTTTGCACATTTCATTATAATATTTGACTCTGTCTTCTTGAGCTGCCCATTAAATTTTCTGCTTCACTTTTTCCAGTCAATTTTGCTTCTCTATGTTCAAGAGCAAGTTTCAGAGTCTCTTCTAACATCCATTTAAGTAATTTCTTTTTTTCCTGTCTTTGAATGACTTTTTCCTTTCTTTATTTATGATGTTCTTGATGTCATCATACAACTCCTCTGGTCTTTGGTTATTCATATTCAATATGTTAAATCTGTTTTGAGATAGGCTGTAAATTCAAATGAGATATATCA